ATATGATACCAAGTCAGTTCTTTCGTGATTTTTTTTCATATCAGATTATCTCACAAGAAGAAACTCTCCAGAAATAGTTTGGGAACAGAATAGAGTTAAAAGTTATGTCATATTCATGTGCAGCTCATTCAATTCCTTTCAAGAAGCTGTTCAAAAAAGTTCTTAACTTCAATTTTGGTTTCGTAATCTCATCCCCAAGGCTTTCATACCTCCATATCCATCAGAGAGTCAAAAGTTTTCGCTAGCCACCACATGCACTTCCCGCGATTTTCTGATCAATCTTGTATTCAGAAATTTAGACACGTGATCGGTACGTACGAAACATACGACTGTTGAGCGTGCTGTTGCAAAACGGCTATCTCATGACACGGGATGGATAACGATGTCATTGAGGAAAATATAATAATCGTTGGTTCTTCGTACGTTTTTGCATGTGACGTGGTCGTTTCGCCCTTGACTGTTCCACTGAAACTACCTTCTATAACATTCTAACTTGCACTGACGTAGCCGAGACACAACATCTAGTCTGCAATAGATTCGGGATATAGCGAAACGATCACCCTTTTTTGCTTTATGTAAGCGATCCAAATCATAATTTTTTGCAAAAGTAGCTTTTCCCTGGTGTCGTGGCTTATTCCAATGTGTGCGAGAGATTTGCGCTTTTCTGTGCAAAAAGGGGTCTGTTTGTGATAGACAAGCATTGCGCCAAAATCAGCGTTACCGCATTCAGAACAACCAAATCTCGATATATCGACTATCAGACTGTGACATCTAGAAACTTTTGAACTTTCGAGGTTACCGCAGTATCAGCGATGTACTAATGCACTTGACGATATGTGATCATCAGTATAGATGCTACCATATTGGTTTATAACTTTGACGCGCAATGACAAAGGAGAAATTAGGAATAGCAGGTATTAGCCTGAGGTAGGGAAGAATGTCATTGTAGTGAACCTAAGGTACTTGGAGATAAATCCAGAAGCGACCTTATGTATCTATACGT